CTGGCGCAGCGTACGAATGGGTGAACGGTCGATCTTAGAATTTAGGGTTCCTTGAGACCTGTTCTTGGATCGATCAAGAGTTACTTGCGTTAGCTTCTTGAGACCAACTTCTTATTTGGATGAATTGAATCGAATCGAAATAAGGTATAAAGCAAAAGCTCTTATTAATTATGTCAAAACGTGATCAAAACAAAAGACGTNAAATAAGGTATAAAGCAAAAGCTCTTATTAATTATGTCAAAACGTGATCAAAACAAAAGACGTAGCTATGTTTATATAGCTGAAACGAAATCCTAAAGCAAAAAGAAATAAGGAAATAAAAAGATAATCATAAAAGAAAAGAACCAAATCCTAAAAGCCTTGTGATTTAAATCTCGTTGTAATCCTCAAGTTGGCGCCATGAATAGAGATGCCGCTGCATCACAATGGGAGTACCCCTATAGAGTTGGAGGCACAATCATCAAGCCACAAAACAAAGCATTGACACTGAACATTAAAACAAAACAAAAACACACATATCAACTTCAATTTTATTCAGAACATGAACATATATATCACTGTAAATTGTCTTAAGAGATTCAATTACAAATTGTTCCCCTGAAACTGAGACTCCAAAGCTCAACCACACATTAGTACAAGAGATGAACCTTGTGCTAGCTTTTGCACACCAGAATTTACCCACTAGAATCCAATGATACACCATATCAATGATACACTCACAAGTGATGTGCATAAAGAACATACCTTTTGCTTCCACCACGAACTTCCAGTAAGTCCAATCGCTCTGCCTCTCTTCTTCTTCTTTGTTATTACTTTCTTTCTTCTCTTTGGCATTGGATCGAACATTTGGCAGGCGTAGCTCTGAGGCTGTTCGTTTGCTCCATTAAGCTGCTGCTCAACGCTTCCCTTAGTCAACAAACTCAAACAAATGTCTCTACATCTCCAAAGGTATCTTCCATCGCTTCTTCTTCTTCCTTGTATTTTGTTTTAGCTCATTAGATTAAAATTTTTGAAACACAATCTCCATTGATGCATGCTACTTTTTTTCTTCGCCTGCTTTCACATAGATTCCAGCATCATCATTAGTTTCCAATATCATCAAGAGAAAAGAAGGAGAAGTCGATAATGAAACCAAAAATCCTTCTGATTTCAGGCGACAAAAGAGAGAGAGAGAGAGAGAGAGCAACTGGTTCACAAGCTGCCACGTTAGGGTTCCTTAGATTTTCTAAAAAGCCCCATTTAGAGAGCGGTCCTTTAATATTTTGGGATTTTTGATTTATTTTTATTCAACTTTTGTTAGGAATCTGTTGTTAGGCCCTCCCGATGGACTTACTCTAAGCATCAAGGAAGACATGTCAACCCCCATCACGAAGAAGAACATATGAACCTCCAAGAACCTCAGACATCAGAACTTTACTATGGAAGAACACTGGTCAGCCTTAATCATGAAGAAGAACATATGAAGTTGCCATTATATTGGGATTGAATTTTCGGGTAGTATCTGAAACTGTGACAATGATATTCTAGGGGTAAAATAATACTTACGTATTGAATCTGGCGTCGTCTTTGATGAGGCTTGATGGAGTTAAAATGTATTTTAAAGGCAATGAATTAATACCATTAAAAATGGATCATTCTCTTTAATGAAATATTTACGTTTTCCAAAATTACCCTTAATGTTATGAACAAATTACAATTTTCCTTAATGGAATTATTGTCTTTTATTTTTCTGAGTCTATAAACTATATAATTAATTACAATCAATATATATATATATATATATATATATATATATAATGGGTTCGATTAATGGGCCAATATCTTATTCAATTTTTTTATCAATCAAAAATAAAACTATTTTGTTATTCAGAATAATCAAAATCAATAATAAAATTATTTTCGTGATAAAAATCTAAAAATAATAAAAATAAAGTAAATATTTATTAAAAAATACTGGAATGGAAAATAAATATAACCATATAAATCATTAATGGTTTCAAATGTATGCATAAAACATTTTAATCTATACTATTAAATATTGACTCATGCCAATAAATTTATTATCATAGGTTATAAATAATAAAATGCAAGAAATCATTATTAAGAATATACTATTATTCTCACATATTTTTCTTTCCAGATTCAAAATAATATAGATTTCTAATAATAAAACATTTGTCTCCAACTGTTTTTAAAAAAAATATTTTTAGAAATAGATATTATTAATAAAATAGAAAAATAAATGAGTAATAATTTGTTTTATATTTATGTAGTTTGATAGTTAATATACTTACAAATAAATTTACTAACATTTTTTAATAGTATAGATACATGATCTTAATCTTCGAATAGATTTCGACAACTTACAAATAACACAAATTCGTAATCAAATGTTATGTAGAAAAGTATTTATTCTTATCCAAGTCAAATATTTATTAATATACCAACAAATAGATCAATAAATCTCACTCGGATATGAAAATTCAATGAAAACATTGTACCAAACTGAAATAATAATAATAGAACAGCTCTTAAATATTATAGATATATAATAATGGTTATAAATTCATTTAATATTTGGCTTTACGGTCAACCAAAAAATTTTATGCGCGTTTTAAAACTTTTGTTATATCTGCATAATTGAAACTTGATTTTGATCATGTAACATTTTATATCTTTAAAACAAAAGATTTTTTAATCTATTTGTAGATAAAACAACAAAAATAGTATTCGCGTTTGTTAAGCGCATGTCAAAAATCTAGTGTGGTTTTAAAACGTCTAGAGGGTAGAAATAAAAATGGAACGACTATAACTAAGCATAAATCAATCTGTAGACAATGGTTCGTCTCTTTGAATTTACAACATCTCCATTGTTGTTTGAGCTAATGAGAATCGAGAAAGAACTGAAACCGTAATTGACAATATCGTCTCTCGTGAAATTTTATTGGACTAAATATTCATGTCATTACAAAAAAAAAAACAGCCCATATTAAAACAAAGGAAAATGAAAACGAAAACAAACAAATATGTTTTATTAAAAGCCCAAACGAAATTTAAATTTGAATAAATAAAATACAGAGTTTTGATGAAATGGACACATGTCACTTGTATGACACACGAATTAATGACGTGGCAGCGTCAATGAAGAGAAAATTCTTCTTTATAATAATAGAAGATAGATAGATTTGTTTTTTGTCCATATAATATAGTATTTTTTTTCTTTGTCAATCTCGCCCTTTTTCAACTGTTTCCTTTTTTTTTAATTTTTTTTTGCTTGTCACATTTTGTAATTTCAGCATACATTTCTTTATCTTGATAAAAAGTACACATTTTCTTTTTTTTTCTGGTAAAAAATACACATTTCTTTCTCTCTGTCAATATTATTTAAAATCGAATAAATTAATATTTTAATTTCACAAGTATCTATATCATTTTTGGTCAAATCATTTATATATTCTTATATAGAAACAAACCTTAAGGTTAATGAATATTTTTTTATATATTTTTTAAGAGTTCAAAATTTTAAAATATTTATAAGTTTAATTTTTCAAATAAAAGTTGCATAACTATACTTGTTGTTTTTACTTTTCAAATAAAACCATTCTCCCAAAAAGTAAAAAAGAACGTAAGTTCGTAATGCATGAAACGTTCAGTCAACATTTACAGTCTAAACCAAGTGCTCGTGACTTGGTAGTAAAGGAGGTATAACTGTACTGTCCACCACTTAGGTTTGAATCTTAGCCACAACGGATTTAACATCCTTTCCGTTGGGGCGCTGGACCCCCTTCGGAAAGATAGTTGGGAATGTGACTGCCTAGATACCATACTTTAAAAAAGAAAAAAGCATTTACCGTCTAAACCCAGTTACAAAAATATATATATATTTACAGTGGAACTGATTAGGGTTTCATTCCCTCTCCAGCCTTCCTAATATATAATTATATATTACGCATGCATATAATATTATAAATTGTCGGTGGGAAATCATATCTTTATTACGATATTCAAGTAAATCATTAAGTGAGATAGTTAATAATGAGTGTTAATTCACCCACACAACCGTGCGGGTATATTAATACAAAAATATTTGAAATTATATAATAAAATTTATCAATAAATAATTTAATTTTGTATGCTATCCAATTTTATAATAACTTTTATGTGACTTATAATATTATTAATATAAAATTTATAAATTTGTTTTTTATAACAATTTTTAAAAATATTATTATGTAACATTACTAATTTATATATTTTCTTTTATTTCTAAATTCAAAATATATATAAAATGTAAATTAAGTTGGACCTACATAATACATAAACAAAATTTGGGATATTGTTAAAATTATTTTACATAATTTTAATTTTTGTTTATAAATAAAACATGAATTAAAAATTTAATTATATTTTATGATAATTTATAATTTTAATCAAATAATTTTTGAAACTATATCTTGAAAAGATTCTAAAAGATTTTGTTAGAATTTTCTTAAAACTATTTATTTGTATTTAAACAAAAATTAAAAATATGAAAAAATATTATAATGTTATGTAAAATTTTATAAAATTCTAAAAATGGTCCAAACTAAAATTACATGAAATGAGTCATGACTTCTTTTTTAATATAATAGATTCTTGTTGTATAAAAATAATCATTTTACAATTTCAATACAATTTAATTATATTTTAAGTTTAAAATTAATTACAGATATACTGATTATAAAAACTTTTAATTATCTCAAATATTATCATTAGCGAAACAGTTTTAACTATTCAGAACATAAATATACTTTCATGGTTTTTTTAATATGTACGAAAAATGTAAACCCGCTGTTGATATAAAATTGAAACTTTTATAAACCTTTGATAGATCCAACATTTAAAACAACATTCCAATTTTTCCATTTAGAAAGAAAAAAACGTTCCAATTTTTCCAAAATTGGATATCTGATTTTATTCCATTTAATTTGCGGTTCGTATTTAAACAACATATAATCAAGTCAGTTTTCTCTGTTGACAATGTAATCCGCGAGAGACAACAACGGCGCCACCTTTTGTGAATCAAACCCTTTAAGATGCTCTCTCGCTTCTACTTTCAACTTCTCAGCATATTCCTTCGACTTCTCCACCCCCATGAACCTCGGATACGTTAGCTTTCCGGCCATCAAGTCTTTACCGGCCGTCTTCCCCAACTCCTCTGACGACTTTGTCACGTCCAACACATCATCCACCACTTGAAACATCAGCCCAATACATCTTGCATACATCCTAAGCTTTTCAATCTCTTCATCAGACCCACCTCCTAATATAGCACCCGCCACCGCAGAAGCTTCAAGCAACGCCGCCGTTTTGTGGATATGTATAAACTCAAGATGTTCCAAACCCACTTCGCTCATCCCTTCTCCGGCCATATCCGCAGCTTGACCCGCAACGAGCCCTTCCGTTCCCAAGGCTTTTGTCATCTCCATAATAGCCCTGAGAACCCTCTCTGGAGGAACGCCCAAGGTGGTGGACGCGGCCATCTTCTGGACAGCCAGAGCTATGAGTGCATCAGCTGTCAAGATGGATATATCTTCGCCAAAGACTTTATGGTTGGTTGGTTTTCCACGGCGAAGGTTGTCGTCATCCATACAAGGGAGGTCGTCTTGGATGAGAGATGATGCGTGAAGCATCTCAACCGCACATGCAGTTGGCATTGCGTTGGAATCTTGGCCGCCTACGAGCTCGCATGCAGCTAAACAAAGCATTGGCCTTACACGTTTTCCACCGGAGAGAAGTGTGTACCTCATGGATTCACGGATCTTGAGTGCTGGCTCGCGGAGAGGAACGGCTTCTTCTAGGGCTTTGTTGACGGACTTAGCCTTATTGACCATATACAACATGAAGTCGAAGTTGTAGCTTGGGACTGATGCTAAACTGCGAATGTTAAGGTGGCGGGATAGTCTAATGGCAGACGTGACTTTAGTGTAACGTGGCCGGAACCTCCAGAATAAGTAGTGGACAGCGAGAAAGATGGCAGTGAGAGTGTAAACAAGAGTTTGTTTGTTTTCCATCTTTGGCTTTAGTTTGATGATTGTAAATTGGAATTACAAAGTCATATTTATAGTGGAGCTGTGGAAGGGTTTAGGGTTTAATTAATATATTAACCATGCACGTTTATGATTTCCTGAAGAAATATATATTCAATGACGCAACAAACAACTCACCACAGCTTCTATTGGTGAGATTTGTAACATGGATTTATAGATTTCAGCGTCGAATGAATTGAATTCTGCGCTTAAAATAGTTTTAAAAGTGGAAGCTCACTTAATTTCGTTGTTTGACTCATGCTTAATAATAATTTTACACCATAATGTTTGGATTTCAAAATTTTGGAAAATGAAAATGATGCATATTAATGAAAAATATTTACATGGGATTTTTATCATAGTGTAAGGGTGTGACTCGTAACAGCTGCAGGAGTTATATGAAATGAAAAGGGTTCATGTGAAAAATTAAAAGCGCAACTCAGCGTAACATTTCTCTCTCTATCAAACTAGAAAAAACAATTTACCTCATTTTTATTTCCTTTAGATTAATTTGGCTGAAAACATGTTACTCTTGATTGGAAAAAAATAGAGTAATTCACCTTAAAATCTGTTTACTTTATTTTGTTATCACTACACATGTCATCAAGTCACACTCTAAGTATAACCATCAGACGTGAATTCTATAAGCCGGGTCAAAGATGATTTAATCAGACGTACGAATTTCATAAAACTGACAAAATTGTCAATTGTAGAGTCATTTATGTAATATTCTCATAAGAAACAAAAAGAACATAGTTGTCATTAATTAGTTCCATGTGGTTGATTGTAGTTGAGAAGTTGTCCCAAGAAACAAATGGTTACGTTGGCATTTACTACTTACCATGTGGTGCCAACATTTATACAAAAAGTATCTAATTTGTACACATGTTACTTTAGATTCTATTAATGTTGTCTTATGGCTTATGACATTTTAAGTAAATTACAGTATAATCTCTAGAAATTAATATTCTATAAATTAATATACAATAAAAATATTTATAAAATAATATAATTTTATAATTCCAAATTCAGTTTTTGGTTCAGTTAAGATATCGATAAATTAATAATCTCTAAAAATTAATAAAAAAATTATAGTTGTAGTATAATCTCAACATTATTAATTTAAAGAACTTTCACTGTATAGAGTTTTAGTCATAAAAATAAAATAAAGTGTTAATGGTTTGTTAATTATATGAAATTCTATACAAAATTTGCTTTTATTGAAAAAATAATTTTAGTTAATTTTGTTTCTATTAAAATCATGTGTTATTGCAATTTGAGTGTTAAAATATTTAACTAGTAAGAAAAAGCTTTCGAAATATTATATATATCTATTGATTTTTAAATCATTAAAATAAAATATTTTGAAAGTATATACAATTCTCTTCAAATATATACACACATATATATATATATATATATATATGTGTGTGTGTGTGTGTGTGTGTTTTTTTTTGTTTTGTGCTTATTAGCTATACGAATAATAAATTACCACATGATTACATATCTGAATGAAACAATGTATTCCCTCCGTTTCATATTAAGTTTCGCTGTATAAAATTATTTTCGTTACAAAATAAGTGTTGTTTTCGGTTTTCAATGCAAAATTTATTAATTTTATTATGTAATTTTTTTCTATTGGTTAAAATGTAGTTAAGTGTATATATAATTGTGCGTTTTATATAGGAAATTTGTAAAATTAATTGTTTCTTTTATCCGTGTGCAAAACTCTAAAATGACACTTATAATGAAACAGAGGGAATATTAGAAACTGCACAAACCTTTTCAAAAAAAAAATCTGAATTAATATATACTCTGTTTCTTAAAAATCATTCTAGCATTTTTTCTTGTTTCAAAACGTGTCATTCAACATTTTCAATGCAAGTTTTTCATATATAATTTTTTTTTGAGAAAATAGTTTTTTTAACCCAAATAGCTTTGGACATTGTCATCTTAGGTTAATTTGATTCACTTATTGTCTCATTAGGATAAATATTTTCTAATTGGCAATCCTACCCTTAAATTATATAGTTTTAGTTATTAATTCGTAATTAGGTTAATTATAATTATAAAAATTGAAATTTGTTTTTAATAAATATTAAAATATNGAGAAAATAGTTTTTTTAACCCAAATAGCTTTGGACATTGTCATCTTAGGTTAATTTGATTCACTTATTGTCTCATTAGGATAAATATTTTCTAATTGGCAATCCTACCCTTAAATTATATAGTTTTAGTTATTAATTCGTAATTAGGTTAATTATAATTATAAAAATTGAAATTTGTTTTTAATAAATATTAAAATATAATATTATTGTAAAAGCATAAAAAAAAAATCTGCTCCCTTTGTAAACCTAATTGAAACTATCGACGTCTCCAATCTCCCGTCGTCTCCAATCTCCCGTCGTCTCTCTCTCAGTCGTCTGTCTCTCTCTCTCAGTCCCGACCTCTCATCTTGTTGGTGTTCTAGAGGATGCAATTAGAGGAGGATACCCAATTTTAGTTATCGCAGAAGACATTGAGCAGGAGGCTTTAGCGACCCTTGTCGTTAACAAGCTTAGAGGCACACTTAAGATTGCAGCTCTCAAAGCTCCAGGATTTGGAGAGCGCAGCCAACACCTTGACGATATTGCCATCCTCACTTGGAGGTAAGTTCTTGTGTGCATTGCTGAGCTTTGTGTTTTAGGCATAATGGTTGTCGTTTTAATCTTGTCCTGGTTTTTTTTCTGCCCTTGCAGCAACTGTGATTCGTGAGGAAGTTGGTCTTTCCATTGACAGAGCTGGAAAAGAGGTTCTTGGACATGCCGCAAAGGTCGTCCTCACTAAGGAGACTTCGACCATTGTGGGTGATGGGAGCACACAGGACGATAGTGTACTTATAGTAGTATGCTACTTGGTTTGTGCAGCAAGCAGAGCAAGATTATGAGAAGGAAAAACTGAATGAGAAAATTGCAAAGCTCTCTGGTGGAGTTGCTGTGATTCAGGTTAATAACAAACCCTATTAGTATTATTTAATATACTATGATGAAGAAAAGGTATAAACAGATCAAGCATTCAAGTTCTAGTTCCTAAACCTTCAGGTCTTCTAACTTCTCCACATTCTCTTGCTTCAGGTTGGAGCTGATATCGTGAAAAGAGCACTGAGTTACCCTCTGAAATTGATTGCCAAGAACGCAGGAGTCAATGGAAGTGTAGTTAGCGAGAAGGTAGTTCAACAGAAAACTTCCACACACTTTGTGATATTGATTTAACTCGGATGCTTTAAGAGCTGTCTTTTATTCACTGGCAGGTGCTTTCTAACGATAATGTGAAGTACGGTTACAATGCTGCAACCAGCAAGTACGAGGATTTAATGGCCGCATGAATCATCGATCCAACAAAGGTCAGTTTCTTGAATACATAAACTGTCTTGGCTTGCTAAGTGCAAGAAGATCCATGAACCTGAGTGTGTTTGGTCTGGATTTAGGTTGTGAGATGTTGCTTGGAACACGCAGCTTCGGTTGCAAAGACATTCTTGATGTCAGACTGTGTCGTTGTTGAGATCAAGGAGCCTGAGCCAGTTCCTGCAGGCAACCCAATGGACAACTCAGGTTTGTTTAGACATTCAGATACTTTGAATCTTTTCAGTGAAGGTCCTCCAAAAAAAAACATGTCTCAATTCACTGATTCTGTTTACTTCTCTCTTGTTTCAGGATATGGATACTGAGGAGATAACTCTGCTGGAAATTGATTCTTTTAGCTTTGTAGTAGATGAGCAAAGTTTAATGATTTTGAACAAGAGAATGTGCTTTGTACTGAAAATTTGAACCAATCATATGAATAAATCATGATTTCCTAATAGTACAAAGTTACAAACAAGAAAACAGTAAGACAAATTCACAGGTATAAATAACCAAGAAGAAAACAGATGACATCAAAAGATAAAGTCTAGGTGGTTAATGAACTATTTCTTGTTAAAGCAAAACAAGGACTTGGTGGCGCTAATGGCACTCTCACTGATGGAAGATTCATAAAATTGCTTCATGAGTGGATCGAAATCCTCTGACTTCCTGATGTTTTCCAGGTCTGGATCAGATCAGATTCTCTGCAAAATGAACAACTATTCAGTTTAAGTGAGCAACACCACCTCTTACTAACTCAACAGAACATTATAACCCATTTGAAACTACCTTGAAATCTATATCCTGACTTCAATGCTTCTTCCAGAGCCGAGAGACCAGGTTGAACCTATCAACACAACTCTTATCAGCTCTGCAAGTCAAAATGGTAATATCAGAAAGATTAATAGCTCTTTTACCTGATTAAGCTTCTAGTAGCAACAAACAACATTGTAACTTGCAACTGATGCGTCATCTGGTCTTGGTTTAGAGCCTAACACAGACTCAAACCTATCCAATGCTTCCTCATATTTACCATTCCTACATCAATTAGAGAGACAAGTCAATACTCACAAAAACTTTAGGCTAAGTCATAAGATCAGTGAAGGATTTACTTGAAAAACTGGAGCCCTTCACGAAGATCCTTCTCTTGTTGAGTTTTCTGTTCTTTCTTCCTCAAATAGTTTTGCATCTACCCATACAGTTCACAAGCCACATTACCCTTTGGTGTAACAACATAAACAATACTTCTAAAGAAGGTTTCAATAGAAACTCACCTGAATCTCCCTCAATCTACTGCTAATGAAACCTGCATTTCTCTCAGCTCTGATCATCTCTTTCTCTGTTAGCCCACCAGAATCATCAACCTTACCTGCAAGACAAGAAGACAAAACACCACAAGTTCTTTTTAGAGAGAATTGATGACACAAAGCAAGAGAGCTGGAAACATGGAGTTTCAACAAACTACATCGCTTCTCCATTTGCATAAGCAAGTGACCAACCTCTGACGGATTGTGTACATTGTCCTACTGTACTCTGCTGCAGGCCAAATCTCTATCCCAAACACTGCACTGCACACTCAACTTCAATGTCCTGTAGTTACATACAGCACTACAGAGCAACCTCTCCACCTCTCTCAAACGAAGAGAGAAAGAACAAACTCTACTTGATCCTTTTGTCTTCCCTCAACATAAAATTCGCATCTCCCTTCAGAAGAACGTGACAATAACCGTGAGAATATTTTCCAAAGATTTTTCTTTTTAGAAAACGTTTTTGCCTTTGAATTTTTTTTTTAAAATTAAATTTTAAATATGGAAACAGAATATTTCCTAATATATACTTGCTCTATTTTCGGATCTAATAATATTTATCCGTAGAATTCAGATTCTACTAAAGGTAGAACTGTGTTAAGAGATATGAAATCAGTTTCTACATGTATTAGAACGTTGTAACAATGTAGATTCCGATTTCTACTAGTTTTAGATTTAAGTAAGAATTTAGATTTCAATTTCTACTTTTATTAGAACTCTATGATAAGAGTGGAATGTGTATTCCAAACCATTTTAGATTTGTGTTATCTCCGTAGAAAACATATTCTGCAGTTCGTAGAAATAGTGAAAAAAGTGGATTCCGTATTCTAATCCGTAGTATTCGGATTCTAATTTTGGTAGAATAATATATGAAATTATTATTTACACATTTTTAAAACAGGAAAAAAATATCACTATATAGATATAGGGGTTTCATCATTATGTACTATTTTAAATTTTTTTTTTGCTTCATAAATCTATTTTTTTAATAATTTCAGAAATAAATAAAGGGCATTAGAGTCAAAATTGGTACAAAATATAATTTAGATTAAAGGGACAATGTCCAAATCTATTTGGTCTAAAAAAACAGTTTCNAAACAGGAAAAAAATATCACTATATAGATATAGGGGTTTCATCATTATGTACTATTTTAAATTTTTTTTTTGCTTCATAAATCTATTTTTTTAATAATTTCAGAAATAAATAAAGGGCATTAGAGTCAAAATTGGTACAAAATATAATTTAGATTAAAGGGACAATGTCCAAATCTATTTGGTCTAAAAAAACAGTTTCCCCTTTTTTTTTTACTTTTTTATTCAACCGGTAGAATTTATGTTGACCTCGCAACTTTCTTAAATTAAACCAAAAATTCAAGTAGAAAATAAAATGCCGATCGAACCCCATATATATAGAACATAGAGATAGGAAGAATAGGTTTACATAAATAAAGGACGTTTAACTTTATTTAACACCAAGATTCCAAGAAAAAAAAAATTTACATAAAGAAAAGAAAAATAAAACTATATGTAGACGGAATAGTGAAGTGGTTACTGGAGGGAACGTAGAGCCTGCGTGTAATGTGTGAGTGCCCAAAGAGTGAAAATGTTCCTATACATAGGATAATGGAGCTTCAGATTTACACTTAGCACCCCACTCATTTCCTGAAAAATAGAGAGAAAGACCAGAAAATTCAAGTAATTGATAAGTCTCTCAAACGTAAACCATAATCTGTAATATAATAAAATCAAATCTTGTCAAACGTAAGATACATCAAAAGAAAACAACTCCCAATAATAGAAATCACCTCTTGTTGGTAATCTCCGTTATCCAGCTGTGAATTGATCAATACTTTGGCAGCACGATTAACCGGACGTGGATCTCTCTCCATCTGACCACTCAAAACTAAACTTATAAGCGCTTGGCCTGTATTCACAAGATTAATCTTGTTTCTTCCACTAAGTGGAACGTATCTCCTTTTCGAACAAGAAACATAACTCTCTCCCCAACCACCTTCCTTGTTTTGTGTCTCAAGAAGGAACCGAACCGCTCTACGGATAGCCTCACAGTTGCTGTAAGTCTTACCTGCAGCCACTAGACCTCTCACCGCAAAGAAGGTTCCGTAAATGAAACACACTCCCCAGCTTCCATACCACGAACCATCCGACATTTGAAGATTTTCCAAGTATTTCACTCCATTCTTTATAAAATGTTTCACTTGTTCCCTTTTGTATTCCGGAAACTGTTTCATGAACCGAGCTATTGCTACTAGTGCCGAACCAGTGCATTCAACAAACCTAAAGACAGGTTTATACCATAATTAATATATTTACAAGAAAAAGTGTGATTCTACATATATATAGCTAGTTAAGAATTATATTACTCATGCTCCACAGCTGCGTCTTTCATAAACTCCACTGGACTAAACCACTGCATTTGATTGATTATGTTTAGGCATTTGTTACACACAATTAGTCAATAATCTTGAAAACATAGAAAAAATTATATATAAGATACCTCTAGCCAAGTTTTTCCAGGCGCTGGTTCCCACGCTGTTACACCTCCATTCTTGCTCTATAATTTTGAATAGAAGAAAAACGTTGATCAATAGCAATTATTTAAGCATATTAATTAATAAGCTAAGTTTATATATATAACCTGAAAATGGAGAATCAAATTGACAGCATCATAGAGCCTCTGTACATCCATTTTCTCACCTATGAACTCTAGCGGCATGGTTTCGAACATTAGGCAGCACTAGACATGCATATAAATAATTAGCCTCAGTTTGTAACTGTAAACTAGTTAAGGATCAATTCTTGATTAACTAAGAGAAGCCACCTCTAAACTTTCAGCTGTACAATCTGAATCAGGCAATCCTTGATCTTTGTCCGCAAAATTCCATCCACCTTTTGTAATGTGCCTAAACATTTTGAGATGGTCACCAGGTGGGTTTTCTGTTACCTGAGATTTCTTCAAAAAGTCGTATCCTTTGATCAGCGTTGATCCAATAATCTCATCATCGACATCAGCAGCAGCTAAAAGGACTTGGAGCGAGAAGACTGTATCCCATATCTGACTACCACAAATCTGCATAAGTAAAACATTAAAACATCAAGCTTAAAAATGCTCTGCATGAATCATCTAATTTTGATATGCCATACTACTAAGATTTTCTTATATGTTAATTAGCACACTTATGTTAGGGCATTATTATTTGGAGTATTTCAAGTTAAGTCTCTCATAATTTGAACAGAAATTATATCTGATATTTTATTAAAAAGTCTTTTAAAATTATTATAGTTCAAGATTAATATAAAATTACAATAAATGTGATTGTGGCTCATGTTATATCTCTCACAGAGAAATATATGTTAGTTAGAGGCACAGAACATTTAACCACAGTGAATTATATTTGAATTCAATTAACGGATCATCTCATCTGACTATATATGATGACATATTGCCATCCTAAAAATAACTTACCTGGAATTTCAGACCGTCATCACCAATCCATACAAAATCGTGGAGTCGAGCAAGATGTTTCTTGAAGTAATCACCCTCTGGCTCTTCTACCCAACATGCAAGCATACAAAGCACCTATCAAATACGACCACGAAATTGGTTACAGAGTGGATATTTTATGTTTCTTACTCGATTAAATAAAAATCAGGCATATTTTCTTAAGAATATACCCCAAATAAAATGAAAATAAAAAGATAAATTTTGAAGAGGGATTGTTTTAAGTGTAACCTTTGGCACACATCCAGTGGTAAGGTATCGGGTGGATTCTTCATGGTAGTGAATGAGTTTCATTGTGGTTTGAAGAGCTCTTTGCCTTATGATCTTGTTGAATGGCCAACTGTTTAGGATGTTATCAGAGAACATATGTACACTTTTCCAAAACAAATTTTGTAGATATGATAGTTGATTGTATGAATCTTCCTGCATCCATTTACACCAATATTGTGATATATATATATATATATATATATATATATATATACATATATATATATATATCCATTTATTGCAATCAAGACAGTGTCTTCAAAATTAATCGACACTATATATGTTGGATGTAATTAACTAAGAAAGATTTTTATTTTGCATATCATGATATCAAATGAGAGAGAGAGAGAGAAATGAAGTATGTGAACGCTGTGATAAGTTTCCCATGTTTTCAAATTGAAAACAATTGGCAATAAATAGACTAGCTCAACTCCTTTATATATTACTCATGTCGTATTAAATCTCATAAGCTTATATTCTTACATGTTCTATCAAGATAATGGTATATATAACCATTAATCTCTATAATATCATAGTTTAAAATTTGGTTCAGGTCAGACCAATCAGACAAATTCAGACAAATTCAGGTCATACCGGTTTTTAATATCGATTAGACCTCTTTCGATAGGTTTGATCGATTTTCGTTCGGTTAGGCAGCTTTAAACTAAATCTAATTAACTACTATAAATAAAATGTCACATTGAAATTTCCAATTTGAGATTTTTATATTTTTACAACAGGACTTTGTAAACTAACATTTTCACCATGATATGTTTTTTATGGTTTTTTCTTGACAAAAGACTAACCTTTGCGCATAGGTTTTGAGCTTGGCTCCAAATGATTTGGGCATAAGGGTGCAGATAAAGCTCTTCACGGAGCTGTAGAATGAGAGGTGTTGGTGTAGCTACAAATTTTTTACCATACAGGTATGACAATGCCATAAAACTCTCCCGAAAATAAATCCACACGGTACCTACACAAATTTATAAGTATAAATAAACAAATTGCGACCCAATCTCATCATATGAAAAAAAAAAATCCGCCGTAAAATTCAACCTCCATTAATAGGAGAAAAAGAAGGGAGCATCCAGAACTCTGGTGGTATAGATTTGCAGCCAGACCAATCATAAACTCCAAGAACCTATTAAATTTTAGCAATATTAATGAAAAATCTCGATGATGATAATTATCCTTTGGTGATTTGATTTAGTAAGTGTACCGAAAGCCAAACTTTTCCAAAGAAGGGGGTATAAGTAGCACCACCGTGGTCGAGAATCCATTTACGAGCCATTGCGCAAGTATTTCCTTGTTCTGGTTTTACTCCTAGAATCCGTAGGCAGATGTAGTTGAGGACCGTGCTTAGCATACAACTGTCGCTTTC